TGGCTTATTTCTGCAAAAAATATTTTTTCTTTTTTATATTTACTCGCATAAAAATGATCTACTCAATGAAACAGAAATGTACCGAAAATGTTTACAAATTCAAAAGACTTGATTATAATAAAAAAATAAATATAATTTCTTCCAAAAAAATCATGCTTTTATTTATTAACTTTGAGTAACAAAAAAAATATATATAAATAACTGAAAATTAAAAAATCGGCATTCTAGGATCTCTTAAGAATTTAAATAAGTTAGTTTTTAAACAAAAGGGACATATATTCTTTAAATGAACCTAAATGAAAAATTAAACGTGGAAAAAACCTTTTTTAGTAAAGAGGAATCAAAGTTATCTATTTGTTAATTAATATTGTTTACAACAATTTAAATAAATTATTTTATGTTTTATTAATTGTCTGGTGGTCATATTGGATTAATTTTAACTGATTTAGATCAGTTAAAATTTAAAATCAGTTATTAATGTGTTAACTTTTATTAAACTAAAAAATTATAAACAATTAAAATATGAAAAATCAGCCTTGAGGGATGTCATAAGAATTTATTCCCCTTTAATTTAAAACAAAGAACACTCAAATCGTTTAAAAATTGTAGGCTGTAGACATTTTTGAACAGTAAATTGTAAAATTGTTGATATTTTAAACAAATTATGAACAAAATTTAACGAATATTTTTTGTTCGAAAGCAGGGGTATTTTATATTACTCATTTCAAATTTTATTAAAATCCATCAAATAGAACTGTAGAAAAAAATGTTTTAATAATTTTGTTGATTAAAAATTGTTTAAACAATAACTCTTAAAAAAAATTAAAATTTTGCAAAAACAACTTTGGGATCATATTTTGGTACGAAAATACTATAAAATTATTGATATGAAATATAAAAATATCTCCATCGAAAAATTAGTGGCACGCTTCAAAAATTTTGAGCCATAATATAATAACGTAAAGATTTTACGAATATTCAGGCGGTTTTGTTTTGGTTAAATAAAATTTTTTCGAATTCTATATGAAAAATAAGTAAATACCTTTTTTTTAACCTTCCGTCACACACCCAGTTAGGGATTCCCTCCATGGTTTTAGTATTTTTTAAATATCTTTTGTTTTCCTCATTGTAAAATATAATCAGTTTCTATATCTTTCGACGGTTCCCTCCCTAAACAAGTTTCTATAAAAACATTTAGTTTAATATGAGGCTTCAAAGCTTAGAAAAGCCTTGAAAAAGTGAGGAATTTTTTAGTAAAAATATTCGAGTTGTCAAACCTTTTTTTAATAATAAAATAAATTATTTAATGATTTTTTTTACGTATTTGTTAATGTTACATTATTTTTGCATGCAAAGTGGAATTCCTTCGAAGATGTACTTTCATGTAATTTTTTTTTATTGGTGAGAACGAAAAATAATTTAATGATTTGAAATAATTTACTACATTCTTTAAAAGTTTGCGTTAAAACTAAATTTTTGTTGATTCCTTCGTTTGATCGAATTGCGTGACGGTTGATTTTTGCCTAAAAACTGAGAACCACTGGCAAACTGATCCCCCACATATTTTCCTCTTTCCGAAATATAAGCATCAAAAGAAATTATTAGTTTCAAAATCAGTTGGCAATTAACGCGCGTGTGTTTATGTTGTTTGATATTTTGATATCTGAATGTTCCAAACATAAATTACAATTTTCACAAACTATTGTGTTTGTAGATTTCGAGAAAGTTATTCGTAATAGCCATTTTTGGATTCTCAAAATGTAGAGGATTTTTTTGTTGATAATTTAATGGCAATTATTTCTGACGACGAAAGAGTAGTGATATTTTGTGACTATGTTTTACTGGCGAAATTGATTCTCATTCTGATTCTTTTAGTATAATAGAAAAAATGTTTCAAAACACTATTGAATTGACAATTGTTTCGTTGAAAAATTATGGGAAAATTCAAAGAAAGGTATTTTCTTATTTTTCATATAGAATTCGAAAAAAATTATTCAGGGTTGCCACGCAACCTGGAAACCTGGAAATTATTGTTTTCTAAAGTTATTGTGCTTATTCTTGAAATCTAATTTTTCTTTAATTCAAATTTCTTAATTCAATTTTAAAAGAGTTGCCTTTACAATTTTTCTTCGCAATAATTCAATTATTTTTTCAGAAATAATCAAATTTTTTACAAACATTCAATTATTTTCATAAATAATAAAAAAATTTGTAGATTTACAATTATTTTCATAAATAATAAAACTCATCTCAAAATTTCAATTATTTTTAATACAATTTTAATGGAATTCCTCGAAAAAAGTTATTATTATTCTTAAAAATTTTATTAAAATTTATCAAAGAAATTTAATTATGTTAATAACCTTTGCTACAAATTATTTATTATAATTTAAGTATTATTTTCAATACATTTTTAATTAAATTTCTTGAAAGAATTAAATTATTTTCAAAAATTTTAATGAAATTCTTTTTAACAATTCAATTTTTTTTCCAAAATAATTTTAATAAAATTCTTCGAAGAAATTTCATTAATTTCTATAATTTATCAAAATTCAATTATTTTCAATATCTACTATTTTAATAAAATTTCACCAAAGAATTCAATTAGGTATTTAAAAAAGAAATATTATTAAAAAATTCGTCTCAAGAATTCAATTATTTTCAAAAGTAATAAAATTCTTCTCAGAAATTCAATTATGGTCAAAAGTTTAAAAAAAATTATCGTCAAAATCTCAATTATCTTTATAAATATTAAAATTTTTCTCCAAAATTCAATTATTTTCAAAAATTTTAATGAAATTCTTTTTAATAAATTCAATTTTTTACAAAAATTCTCCTCCAGTCAATGATTTTTAATATCTTTACTATTTCAATAAAATTTTCCAAAAGAAATGAATTGTTTTATAAATTTTTTATAAATTTCTTCGCAATAATTCTATTATTTTCAAAAATATTCAATTTATGTTTACAGAGATTCAATTATTTTTATAAATATGTAATACAATTTTTTACAGCGATTCAATTATTATTTTAATAAATAATAAAACTCATTGCAGAATTTTAATTATTTTTGATACAATTTTAATCGAATTCCTCGAAAAATGTAGGGTAGAGTGGGGTAAAAAAGCCATGGTGTAAAAAAGCCATTTGAGTTTTATTTAAAAACTATTAAGCCGATTTATCAGCTGTTTAGAATATAAATACTATTAGGTAATACGCAACTTTTGAATCTAGTTTGAATGTTGTACCTAGATTAATATTGTTTTTATTGTAATTTTAATTTTTTGTTGCTTTTTTGAAAACATTTTGGTGAACTTTTCAAGCATATTACAATCTGATTAAGTGAACGAATAATAAAAATAAATGTTTGTACATAAGGAGAAAAGTATACCGAAAACGTATACAATGTTAATTTTTGGAAATTGAACTGAATTAACAATTTATTTTTGCTTTTTTAATAACTGGTCTTGGGTGTAAAAAAGCCAGGGCAAAAAATCTATTGAATATTTTGTGAAATTCACTTGTTTTCTATTTAAACTAACCTTCTTATTTTACAAAATTTCTCGTGTTTATTTAATAAAATTAATTAAATACGACGAAAAAGTAGTTCAAAGTGCATTAAAAAAATAAACAATGAATAAACGGTTGCAACGAAATATGTTATCTGTGGTGAAACTTAAAGAGAACTTCTAAAAAAGGTACGAAAAATTGGCAGTGCAAATCGAAAACAGGTAAACTCAATATAATTTTCAATTTTGCTTGCTAAAAACTCTTTCATAATTATTAAAATATTTTTCAAATAAGACTATTTGTCATATAAATAAAGGAAAACTATAAAAATACCTAAATTGATAACATGTTTTGCTAAAATCGTAGGGTGGCTTTTTCACCCCACCAGGTGGTGCAAAAAAGCCACTTACAGTGCTTCCGTAAAACTCTTATATCTTAGTCCTTTCATGAGATAAAAAATATTTCCGTCAAGAATTTTCAAGCTTAATAACTAAACTTTCAATAACAATTGGAAATTTGAGAAAAAAATTTTAAATACAGATTTTACAGCATCAAAAGTAAAAATGTGGCTTTTTTACCCCACTCTACCCTAATTATTCTTAAAATTTTATTAAAATTCGTCAAAAGAATTCAATTATTTAAAAATTTGTTAATAAAATTTTTTATGAGAATTTAATTTTGAGAAACATTCATTAAATTATTTATTTTTGTATTAACAATAATTAGGTATTTAAAAAGAAATATTTATTTATTTATATTTATTTTATATTTTATTTATTTATTTTTTAAATATTTATTTTTAATCTTATTTTTCGAAAAATGAAATTATTGTTAAAAAATTTATTGAAATTCGTCAAAAGAATTTTAATTACCTGTTTAAAAATTTGTTGATAAAATTCTTTAAATGAGAGTTTAGTTTTAAAAAACATTCAATTCTTCAATAAATTATTTTTTTTGTATTTAGATAATTTAATTGTCGTTAAATTTTCTAATAATAATTGATTCAAATATGAATTTCAGTTAAAACTTTGGATAATAATTGAGTTTTGAAAAGGTTTCAAATTATAATTTTTGAATGTTTGAATTTTTCATACTTTTAACTTAAAATTGTGTAGATTTAATTTTTTTGGAAGACTCGGAGTGATCGATTTCTTTATGTTTTATAACAATTTTTTATAAGTTGTTTAATTTCAAAAAGGTTAGAATTAAAAATTTTGTAAAATATAAATGTAGTTTTAACAACCTGGAAAAATTCCGTTTATTAACCTGGAAAACCTGAAAAGTCAGGGAATTTAAAATGAGCAAAACCGTGGAAACCCTGTTATTTTAATCAAAACAGAATTTTGATTGAAAATTTCACGAAAAATGCCCCAATAATATCTTCTAGAAAAACAAAAATTTCAATTTTTGCGCACGGAAGATTGAGCCTGACTGTGTAATACTTATTAAATCTTTAAATGATGTTAAAAATAGTATTTCTTATGTTTCAGAAATTTCATAAAAGAAAAAAAAATGGTCAGCAACGGTTCAAGCGGCCCTCCACGCGGCCCTCCCCGCATTCAGGTCTTCAGGCCAACATACGATGAGTTTAAAGATTTTGCAAAATACGTGGAGTTTATGGAGAGCAAAGGTGCTCATAAGGCTGGTTTAGCGAAAGTTATTCCTCCTCCCGAATGGGTACCTAGAAAAGGAGGCTATGACATTGATTCCCTTAATTTAAATATACCTGCTCCTATTTGTCAGGTAGTTACTGGAAAACAAGGTCTTTATCAGCAAATAAATATTCAAAAGAAGTCTATGACTGTAAAAGAGTATCAAAAATTGGCCAACTCGGAAAGATACAATACACCTAGACATTTTGATTATGAAGATTTGGAGCGTAAATATTGGAAGAACATTACTTATGTTGCCCCAATTTATGGAGCAGACGTATCTGGTTCCCTCACTGATCCTGATGTGAATGAGTGGAACATTAATCATTTAGGAACTATTCTAGATTATGTCAATAAAGATTATGGAATTTCTATTGATGGAGTTAACACTGCATATCTGTATTTTGGAATGTGGAAAACTACCTTTGCATGGCATACTGAAGATATGGATCTTTATTCAATTAATTATTTGCATTTTGGAGCTCCTAAGACGTGGTACGCTATTCCACCTGAACACGGCAGGCGATTGGAGCGCTTGGCGAATGGATTTTTTCCATCATATTATCAAAATTGTCAAGCTTTCTTGCGTCATAAGATGTCTTTGATTTCTCCTCAAATTTTAAGGCAATACTCAATCCCTTGCAACAAAGTAAGTAAATGTTCTTTTTTATTTATTATGGATCGTTTTTAAAATGAAGAAAGCATTGAAATCTCACAATCAGTTAAGACTAATTGAGTCAAAATTTCTTAACTGGGACACCTAAAACAAACTTTTTAAATTTGCATTATGTCTATGCATAATTTGTTACAGCCGGGTGGTACAAAAACATTCCCGGAATGCGTTTTAAAAAATTTTAATTTTTCAATTACTTTAAAGTACCTTTTTAGGAAATTCTATTATTGCTTCGTTGTTTTTTTAGATAAAATTTAATAATATTTGTTAGAAATATACAAAAATAATGCCTCTATTATAGTAACAACAAGAATTTAAAAAATTCATGATTATGCAAAATAAATTGTTAATTAATTAAACAATTAAAGTTTTAAGTGACTTCTAGAATAGTTACCAAAAAAATTCAAAATTTACAAAAATCTGTTTTCTACATTTTAGTTACAAAAAAAAAATTTTAGTACCCTTAAAAAATGGAGAACTTTGTGGTAATTTTGTTTACATGATTCTGTGATTATAAGCCAAAAACAATACATTTCAAATAAAATTACCTTAAATTGATTTTTGCAACTATTTTTTTAATTTTTTAGTGAATTTTTGAATTTTTTTTTTTTTCAAAAATTTTATTTTCTTTAGTATTTTAATTAAAATTTTATTGCTAAAAGGTTAGCTTAGGAGATATAGTTTCAGGGCGTATATTATTAATTATGATATATATGGGTAGTTCTATAAATACGAAGGACGAAAATGAAGAAAATTTTGGCACAATATTTTTTTTACGTTCAAGTTTTAAAAAGTAGGTTAAATTCAAGTTTAAAGTATTATCAAAGTTACCTGAAAGTGGCCAGTCAAAAAAATAAAAATTGTAAATTTTACATCTTAAGCACATGTGTATTCTGTCAGAAAGTGCCAGGAAACTGAGAATTTGGTCATTTTTCGTCTAAAAAATTGAAAAATAATGCTTAATAACAAAATAAAGCATACTGGTCAACAGGGAATAAAGTTCTACGACACCTCGAGCAACAAAAGTATAAAAACATAAAATATTTTTTTTAAAAATGCGTGCCAGGAAACTGAGAATTTGTCTGACCAAATGGCCATTTCGGTCACAAAGTACACAATTTTAGTTAATTGAACTGCAAGTTAAGTATTAAAATGCAAGTGATATCATATTTAGTTAACCTTTACTAAGCACTGTGAAAAATGGTGAATTAATCGGAATGAAAATTCTTAATATTTTTAACGTTTTTTATGATGCCAGGAAACTGAGAATTAATTGGATGGACAAAATTCAAAATTTTTTAAATAAAATATCAAGTAATGTAACAATTATTTATTTTTTGTAAAGTACAACTATTTGAAATTATTATCCAAGTGTAGATTTGTATTTAAACGCTTAAAAATAATATTTATATAATTTATTAACTTTCATTTTCACATTGGGACATGCCAGGAAACTGAGAATTTAGCACTTGAATGCTTATTTTTGGCAAAAAATATTTTTTGAAACCGGGTAACGTTTTGTGGCATAATAGTAAACATTAAGCACTACAGTTCCCATTGAAAATAATTTTATTTTTTTCAAAATTAATCTAAAAAACAACCTTGGACATCATATATTCCCTCGTTTGTAGAACTACCCATATAATAACGTTTAGGAATTACAGTGTTTCTGATGTATGAAAAAAAGTATAACAAATTATTAAATTGTTTAAACAATTAATTGTTGTTATTTTTTTCATAAACTGCACTTAGGGATATACATTTCTAGATTTTTCTAAATACAATCAATTGAAAAATTAAAAACAATAAATTTGTTTAAACAATGGTCAAATAATAAATTTTTACTTTTTCTATTATATTTAAGTGTTTAAGTTATAAGAAATTGCACACTAAAAAATACGAAGAAATTCTAGTTTTTAAGTACAGTAAATTAAAAAATTAACAAAATAAATTGTTTAAAGAATGTTTAAATAATTAATTTTTACTTTTTCTATACTTGAATTTTTTAGTTACAAAAAAATGCACAATACAGAAAAAACTATAAATATAATATACGCCCTGAAACTGTATCTCCTAAGCTAACCTTTTAGCAATAAAATTTTAATTAAAATACTAAAGAAAATAAAATTTTTGAAAAAAAAAAAAAATTTTTTTTTTTGGAAAAACAGCTGAAATTTTACTTTTAAAAAAGTGGCCCCAAGTTGGACACCATTCAAAAATTCACTGAAAAATTAAAAAAATAGTTGCAAAAATCAATTTAAGGTAATTTTATTTGAAATGTATTGTTTTTGGCTTATAATCACAGAATCATGTAAACAAAATTACCACAAAGTTCTCCATTTATAAGATTACTAAAATTTTTTTTTTGTAATTAAAGTGTAGAAAACAGATTTTTGTAAGTTTTGAATTTTTTTGGTAACTATTCCAGAAGTCACTTAAAACTTTAATTGTATGATTAATTAACAATTTATTTTGCATAAATAATCATGAATTTTTTAAATTCTTGTTGTTATTAATAGAGGTATTATTTTTATATATTTCTACCAAATATTATTAAATTTTATCAAAAAACAACGAAGCAATTATGAATTTTAAAACTCTGATTTCTAAGTCGAAGTTATCGACCCCAAAAACTAACGAGTAATAAGTTTGATGTGTATCTATCTAATGATTTGAAATCTATTCGTCTAGTATTCTGGATCAACTATTTGTTGAATTCGTTTAAAAAACGAATTAATTAACACTCTTAAATAATTAAAACATAAGTATTAATGGTATTTTTCAGAAAAACAAAATTTTGTCATATCGCAACTATATTAATATTCTTGAATGGAATTAATATTTTTGCAATATTCCATAAATCTAAACATCTTTTTTAGATAACACAAGAAGCAGGTGAAATAATGATTACATTTCCTTATGGTTATCATGCTGGTTTCAATCATGGTTTTAATTGCGCGGAATCAACAAATTTCGCTGCTCCTAGATGGGTAGAATATGGAAAAAGAGCTACTCAGTGTACTTGCAGTAAAGATATGGTCAAAATTTCCATGGATACTTTCGTCAAACGTTTTCAACCCGAAAGGCAAGTAATCTTTCTTAGTAAAAAATATCGTCACCTTAATCTGCAAACCTCGGAAGGGGGAACTCCACTTTTGGTCAAATATAACTGTTCAACGTAATAAGTATTATTTTCAGTAAATTAATATACAGTTCTCGGTAAGTCAAAGTAATTATTGGGTTCCGTTCATTCCCTATATGCATTATTAACATTTGATAACTCAAAGATTTTTCGATCTCCCTTCGAGTTTGTCTTATCGAGAGTTGACTGTATTTTAAAAATAATTATACCTCTTACACAATGAATAATGTCAAAAAAGCAAATCAAAATTGCGAAATATATAAAAGACAATGGTGCGTGTCAACAGTTTTCTTGCTCTCCTGTAAAGCTGCGTCAAATGGAAATGGAGTTACGAAGTTTGCAGATTAAGGTGGCAATATCTGTTTAATAATATCTCGAAGATCTGTCACGTAAGAGTACCATCACATCTCTATTGGTGTCATTTAAAAAGCTTTGCCATTTAGGTACAAATGTACTTAATTTTTACATCTTAAAAAGTTTAAAATAAAATTACCATATGGGAATTTTAGTAAAATTTGTTTAGATCATTTTGTTGATTTTCAAAATATTAAATTTTAAAAAAGAATAACATTAAATAATTCAAAATCACATATTCAAAAATGCATATCTATTTATCCCAGAAGTTGAAGTAGTCAAGGATGAATTTTTCTGCAAGAGTAGTCAGAGTTTGAACTTATTTTTCTGAAGTCATTTATTTGAAAAATGTGTAGTTCTTGCCACCCTTATGATTTATAGGGGACTAATCAGTGCTATTTTAGAATGGGGCTCTCCTCAATTCGCTGACTTTTCGACAACAAATTTAAAAATTCTAGAGAGAATACAATCGTTGGGCCTCATGAAGTTCACCCCTTTACCTATTCTTCTTGTAGTAGCAGGAAAGACCCCCTTAACCCTTCGAAGAATTGCCCTATAAAACTCTTTCATGTTGCGGTACTACAAGTGAAGGGATAAGCCTCTTATCCCAAAACTTTAATCATTGAAGGAAAGATTATCTCAACACAAACTCAAAGATTAAGAGACAAGGTATACCCTGCTGATCATCTACAATTGAATAGTACCTATGTCTCGCACCTGTTACAGGGCTCTTAGAGCATCGTAATTTGACTAGGACTGGAAAGCAATTCAAGCATTGGCAGCAATTTTTGTGGAAGATCCTTACACATTTCAATTGTAAAGTGTTAATAAATAACAGCAATTACCACTACTTGCTTCAACATGCTTAATTACTCAGCTTAGTTATTTGCAAAATTAAAGAAAAAATTGTAAGATTACAGGTACATTGTATAAGGAGTTAGTTAATAGCAACAACTACAGGGTTGCCACGCAACTTGGAAACCTGGAAAACCTGGAAAAGTCAGGGAATTTTGATTGGAATCCTGGAAAATTATTGTTTTCTAAAGTTATTGTGCTTATTCTTGAAATCTAATTTTTCTTTAATTCAATTTTCTTAATTCAATTTTAAAAGAGTTGCCTTTACAATATTTCTTCGCAATAATTCAATTATTTTCAAAAACAATCAAAAAATTTATAGATTTACAATTATTTTCATAAATAATAAAACTCATCGCAAAATTTCAATTATTTTTAATACAATTTTAATGGAATTTCTCGAGAAATGTATAATTATTCTTAAAATTTTTTTAAAATTCATCAAAGAAATTCATTTATTTTCAAAAGTAATAAAATTCTTCGCAGAAATTCAATTGTGGTCAAAAGTTTAAAAAAATTTATCGTCAAAATTTCAATTATCTTTATAAATATTAAAATTTTTCTCCAAAATTCAATTATTTTAAAAAATTTTAATGAAATTCTTTTTAACAAATTCAATTTTTTTTCAAAAATTCTCCTCCAGTCAATGATTTTCAATATCTAATATTTTAATAAAATTTTCCAAAAGAAATGAATTATTTTAAACATTTTTTATAAATTTCTTCGCAATAAATCTATTATTTTCAAAAATATTCAATTTATGTTTACAGAGATTCAATTATTTTCAAAAATAATAAAATTCTTAGCAGAAATTCAATTATGGTCAAAAGTTTAAAAAAAGTTACAGTCAAAATTTCAATTATTATTATAATATTAAAATTTTTCTCTAAAATTCAATTATTTTCAAAAATTATAATAAAATTCTTGGCAATATTTCAATTATTTAAAAAAATTTTAATAAAATTCTTGACAAAATTGCAATTATTTTCAAAAACTTTTTTCAATTCAATGACATTTTTTTACAGAGATTAAATTATTTTTAATACATTTTTAATCTAATTTCTCGAAAAATGAAATTATTCTTAAAAATTTTATTGAAATTCGTCAAAAGAATTTTAATTACCTATTTAAAAATTGAAAATTTAAAAATTGAAGAATTTCCGCATACCTGAATAATCGATGAAATTTCGTAAAATTGAATTGTAAACAAAAAAATTGTAAAACTTATTACAGATATTAATAACACATTTTTCATAATTTTGATGATGAATTTCGACCAACTAATTATGAATTTGATTCATAAACAAATTCAATTCAATTAAAATGTTTTCAATAAATTATTCCAATTTAAAAAAAATAAAAATATCCTATTACTGGAGTTATTCCATTATATTTCGACCAAAGTCGTGGCATAGAGAAACAATAAATATGGGCAATTCCACGTGAGATTTAAGTCGACCTCTTAAAATCGGCCAAAAATATTTTTTTTCTATTCTGTATCGAAAAAAAACAGATACGTATTTTTTTATTTATGTTTAATTGTCCAAATTTTCGAGTTATGAATTTTCGAAAATTTAGACTTTTATATAATTGTAGACCTATATTCAGTAGCTTATAAGTCCGAAAATATTGAGTTTAGGAAAAAGTTGTCAAAGAATGAAAGTTTTAGTTTTCTTTCGACTTTTAAAAAATGTAAACAAAAAAATTTTTTTTAAAAATTTTTTATTAAAAAAAAAAATTTTTTTATAAACAAATTAATTTTTTTTAACTTTGGGCCGGATTTTTTTAAATTTTTTTTTTATTTTTTTGTACCTTATAATATAGAGAAGATTTTCCAAAAAGTCCCGAAATTGGCCTGATGTGTTAAATGAGTTTTAAAATATTTTCAAAAATCACTTGCAAGGATCACAGCCACATCACACGGTAGTGCTAAAAACGGCAATAACTGAGATTATTTGAATCTTGACCTTATTTTAATCATTGAAGATCGAAAGAATGTAAAAAAGTGAGTTAAAAACGTGGAGAATATTTTTAAAATGATGAGCGTAGGACATACGTTTATCTGCGTTTTAAAGTCACTTTTTACGCTATTTCGATTGGTAATGGTGAAAATTATGATAAGATTTAAATAATCGCTGTTATTGCTATTTTTAGCACTATCGTGTGATTTGGCGACAGATTTTTTTCATTTACGACCCTCCTCCGCTCACTATTTCGTAAATTTTATTTTTGTTTTTAACTAATATTTTCTTCCTTTTTCAAATAGTAATGATTAAAATTAGGACCAGTTTTGAATAAGATGGTTAATTGCTTGAATTTCAATTTTATTACCTTTTTCACCTTTTTTGACGATTTGTCACCTTTTTCTCCCTTTTTTGCTGATTTATCCCCTTTTTTACCTTTTTCTAATCGAAGATAAACAAGTTTTTCTTTTTTTGAAATCTTTTTCAAAGTGTAATCATAAAATTTAGACTCAATGTTATAGAATTTAGTGCGTTTTATTTCTGATTTAGATTATTAACCCCACAACATAATATAAATATGTTTTTTTTAGAGACGCCTTATTTTGGCCTAAATTCTAAAAGTTAGAAAAACCATTTGTTAGAATTTCAAAAGTTAGAATGTTTATTTGTTAGAATTTCCAAAAGTTAGAATGTTTATTTGTTAGAATTTCCAAATGTTAGAATGTTTATTTGTTAGAATTACCAAAAGTTAGAATGTTTATTTGTTAGAATTATTAAAAGTTAGAATGTTTATTTGTTAGAATTTCTAAAAGTTAGAATATTTATTTGTTAGAATTTCCAAAAGTTAGAATGTTTATTTGTTAGAATTATTAAAAGTTAGAATGTTTATTTGTTAGAATTACCAAAAGTTAGAATGTTTATTTGTTAGAATTATTAAAAGTTAGAATGTTTATTTGTTAGAATTTCTAAAAGTTAGAATGTTTATTTGTTAGAATAGCCAAAAGTTAGAATATTTATTTGTTAGAATTTCTAAAAGTTCGAATGTTTATTTGTTAGAATTACCAAAAGTTAGAATGTTTATTTGTTAGAATTATTAAAAGTTAGAATGTTTATTTGTTAGAATTTCTAAAAGTTAGAATATTTATTTGTTAGAATTATTAAAAGTTAGAATGTTTATTTGTTAGATTGTCCAAAAGTTAGAATGTTTATTTGTTCGAATAGCCAGAAGTTAGAATGTTTATTTGTTAGAATTTCCAAAAGTTAGAATGTTTATTTGTTAGAATAGCCAAAAGTTAGAATATTTATTTGTTAGAATTTCTAAAAGTTCGAATGTTTATTTGTTAGAATTACCAAAAGTTAGAATGTTTATTTGTTAGAATTATTAAAAGTTAGAATGTTTATTTGTTAGAATTTCTTAAAGTTAGAATATTTATTTGTTAGAATTTCCAAAAGTTAGAATGTTTATTTGTTAGAATTATTAAAAGTTAGAATGTTTATTTGTTAGATTGTCCAAAAGTTAGAACGTTTATTTGTTAGATTCCCCAAGTGTTAGAATGTTCATTTGTTAGAATTTTTTTTGAGCAGCGAGTTTCCTTTCTATGTTACTGTTAGGCCTTAACTTCATTTACCATTTGTCCCAACAGTGTACAAGATTCTTCGTACACATGTTAGATGGAGCCAGAAGTAGTATTTACTGTATTTAAAGAAACATATGCTGTAGCAATTTCTTGATCTTGACAGTATATACACAATTTACAAAATATTAGTTTT